CGTTCCCAACCTAAGGTCTGGCTTTGAGTCATGAAGTAGTTAGTCCTTTTAGTCAGTTACTTAAAAAGGATGAGTCAATGGCATTTGCTTTAATTTACAAAGGGTAGAAAAAGTAATACTTGAAACACTGTCCCAACCACTATCGGGACAACTAATTCAAGTCCAAAAGTAGTATTAACTTAAGTGATTAGTATGCCCAACCTTCAGAATAAAACTGCATCCTACATAGTCCTCAGTGTCAAAAGACTGTAATATCCTTTCACTCAGATGCTATTTTCTTCTCTACAACACTGTATTTCTGTATAAACTCTGGCCGTGCACTGAAAATAGGAAAGCAGAGGAAAAGGATTCACAAGACATGAAACTCTAGTAAATTGTTCATATAAAGCATCAAGCTGATACTTACCGAATCTGCCAAATTTCTGCATGTATAATTAAAAAAAACCCAACACACAAACAAACAAAAAACAAATCAAGATTTCACTTTTCTGTAGGCCAAAGGTAACAGTAGGGAAAAAACAGGGCTATGGTCAAAGCTTATTCTTCACCTGACATCAGATATTTTAGCTGTCACGAGGAATCTATTTACTGTTGCAAGAAAATACCAACTTCATTTTCAATGAAGCTATGAACTTGTGCTATTGAAAAAAGCTGCTTTGAACACTGCCTTCTAGCATGGGGATTTTGGGTTTGCTTATTTTTAAGTGATTAACTTCAGAACTAGATCTACAAAATGGGTAAAAATCAGGAGTGGACATAGATTTTCACCCTTGTTTTTATTAGCATTTATTGTTTCTTAATGATGCAAAGCAGAAGTAGCAACAACATTGTAACCTTGGGGGAGAGGAAGGAAGGAAGGAAAGAAGGAAGGAAAGGCGAGCTGGCAAGAGCAACACACTAATACAGGCTTTCAACAACACTGCAATCTCACAGAAGATCAAACATTTACAAGCATCCTCTCAACCTTAAGACAGTAAAAATTGAAATGAGATACACCTTACAGCTCAAGACTATTTCATTGCAGGCACTGCCATAGGGTACAGAAAAGAATCAACAGCACAAGTTGTTACTGTTGGTCCATTTTTAAAAGTTCACGATGCCCTTGCTCACTTCTAGAACTGACTGACATGGGCCTGATACAGTGCAACGTAAAACTGTTTGCAGAGGACATCATAAAAATAGATGTTTGGAAACAACTGAAAAGCCTCATATATGTAACTTAAAAGCATATTAAAATAAACTTTTAAGTTTCAGCTAGAGATAATGAGGAGTAAGTAACCATCAAGACACAGTTGTTCCCAAGCCCTAATGATTTCAGCCATTGCATCTTCATCAAGTTTTAAACTGTAAGCAGTTATCAAATATCATCTCTATTGCTCTATGAAGGGCTCCAACAACATCAGGACCTAGAAACTGAACATATGCAGAGTGCTACCAAATACACATGGAAAAACCCTCAAGTTGCAGGTGGAGAGCGAACTGCTTCCAGGCCAGGGCTGGTGTCCTTCCTCCCTCTACACTAGTTCCCTCTAACAAAGGAGGTTGAATGCAACACAAGTTATCACTATGCAAAGGGACTGAGGCTCTCAGAAAACCCAGCAGTTTGATCTGCTCCTCCAGAGAAGTTCCAATTCAAAAGTTACCTTTTCTGAAAATCTGATGTCACTAAACAGCAGGGTGTATATACAATAAAGCATTAGTCTTATATTGTACATTCCAACTTCAAAGTTTCACACATGATTTCACTAACTATGTGAAAGTTGCTGCTACACCCATCCCTTCTACATTATCTAGTATCCCTGACTTCAAATCACTCAGAGAATATAAAGAAACATGAACTTTGTGCTCAGAGAGTATATGAAACAACATAGTTCAACTTTACCTTGAAAAAAAGTTAAGTTGCCAACCTGTTTCTTTATTCAAGTACAAGAGAGTTTCAAGAACCGTTTAGACTATGATTCATAAGGGGCGATTCAACCTTAATTCTCTACATTACCAAAGAATTAGTCAATCAATACAGGGACTTCAATAAAACCTCCCAGCATACCTTTCAAATAAAACATTCGTGCAAGTTGTTTGACAAAGTCATACCATTTCTTCATTAAAGAGCCACTCTCACCTGAAACATCAGTCATAAAATTAACAGTTAAAAAGGGTTCAGATCACATCTACTCCTACTTGCAAGATAGGCAGTTAAAGAAACTGCTTGGCATGAGACGGAATATCTTACTGTGACCACTGATGGTGGCTGTACCTTAATTACATTAATAAAAGTTTTATTTTTATTTATGTATATATAGATATCTCAACATAATTTTGGATGTTTGTATTCTAGTGGTGATTAAATTTAACTTCCTTATCAAACCATGCCCTAAAACAATGCCTTACCTAATTGGCTTGAGGCATTCTTTACAGGAAAAAAAAGTAATTGCAGATTCAGTGTTGCTGTCCTTTTAATAAAAAATTAGCAGTATTTTGTAATGCTAGCACAAGTATTTCTAAATGAAGGTTTCTACAACAGCAGATACACTTCATTTTGAAAAGCTGTGCCATACCAGTAATAAAAAAAAAGCCTTTTGAAAAAACTGTTAGTAGTATGACTAACAGCAGCCACACTCCACCCAACACATCCACCCTTGCTAACTCCAAATACTCCAGATGACAAGCAACCTTTCCATACTACTTGCCAGCAGTTGTTTCAGTTTAGCTGCCTTCCTAGAATTAAAAAAGCATCTCTGAGATTCAACTTAAGACATCTAAAAAAGCTACAAGCCATTACTATAGTATTAGTAAAGAAGAAATTATCATTCAAAGAAGCAGGAGTCAAAACCACTTTGTGGCTCAGCTTTAGGAAACCCGTCCTTTGTAGTGCCTGCACACTGTGAATTCCAACCTCTCGGATGCTGACTCATGGATCATAGGAGTAGTAGACGGAGGAGGAAAGGGAGAGAGGCAGAACAGAACGTGACTGTACATGGCCCTCAAAGGAAGAGTAAAAATCAGAAGGCTTGCAGTAGAGAGCTGACATCTCCTCCTACCAAAGAAAGGCACATTTTTGCCAGCAGGGCAGAGCAGGAAAGGCATGCACAGCTGTAGGTTTCGGTCTTCGCTACTTCCTGCTGCCTTCCAGGTGAGAAAGGGAGAGTTGCCAACCAGGCCATCGCTGAGAACGGAGAAAGACTAGAATGCAGGGAAAAATTCTGCTAGTGCAGGAAGAGCTTGCTTTACCTACATCAGAGGTATATGTTAGCACGGCTACCAGACTACCTGCTGTCCACCATTTGATGCGACTGGAATAATTTCAGTATAGACACTGCGTGAAATGGCTCGTTACCTTTATCATTCAGAGATATTCAATCTCCCTATGGAAGCACGAGCACATATTGGCACAGCAACCAATATGAGTTTTTATGCATAACCTTCTCTCAGGAACTAGATTTGGTAGGACAGAGGGAGATGAAGTCTGAAGAGTGAGCTTTATGTTGAGGTCCCAAGAAGTTAGTTCTGAAGTGGGGCACTGGGCAGAAGAGATCGAGAGGAGGGACAATAGCACGAATGCTGGCACCCCGTCACACAGGTTCTAGTGAAACTCTTGTCACAGGAAAACAGGAGTCAGTGCCCTACACAAGTCACACCATTTTCACAAAAGTGAAAGTTTTACAACTTAACTATGCCTGTAACTGTAGAAACAGCTTCTTTGGAAGACATGGACTCTTAAATGTGTTAAGGAATTAATTAAGCTAATAAATTTCCAAATGATTTTCAAGCAAAGGTAACTAATTTTGACTGATTTAGGAAAAAAAAAAACAGGTGGCAGCATGCAAGGAAGCATATAGGTATTTTCAGGACAATCCAAAGTAGTACTCTCTTCTCCTGTATGTGAGCCAGAACACTTAACCAAGAAACAAATTCAGTTACTTCCAAACCAGTCAGCTTTAAATTCAGGTCTCCTAAACCAATCTAGGATACATTTACCTGAAAATTGCTTATCTCCTTATAGACTTGCTTCTTCCTGTTCTCATGTTAGCAATACTAGACATCAAAAAAAAAAACCAAACTAAGAGAAGCAGATAAACCACTGAAGATTATCTGCCACACAATTACTATTGCATTACACACATGCAGCTTCCTGCAGCCACAACTCCCGAGTCACGTAGAATAGGATCCAGCAGCCTCCACACTGCTGACACGCATCTCTTCAGGTCCCACTACAGTGCAGTACAGTTTCACTATCGATAGCGTCTGGAATTCTACTGCTTGTACAGAAACATATTCCTGGGCTTTGATGCATGCTTGGGGTGTCATGCCAGTCTTCACACCTTAGTTTTACCTTATTCCACAATTACTGCAAATTCATCTTAAAGACTCCCCTGAGAAGTCAGCTTCAATCTGACAAAGACAATTTCTACATGTCCTTATTTCCTATCTTCGACATAGATGTCTTACTTTACAAAATCATATTTTGTATTAAAAAAATCCTCAAAAGATCTCTTAAAGACCCCTTGAGAGTATTCTTCTTCAAGAGAAGTAAACGAAATGCACACCCAGGTACTTTCAATGCTCTTAACAGCTTATTAGCTCTGATTTGAAGAAATAAAAGGGGTTTTCTCATTTTCTTTTCAGCTTATCTTATGAATAGATAAGCTTACTAACCACAGCACAAACAGGCACGAAGCTAAATTCTCTGCATCTCTATAATTACATAGCGCAGTACTGCATATGGATGACTCCATCCAAAAAACACACTCCAAATTGAGTGTGCATCTCAAATACCTCTACACATATGGGGCCCATAGCATAGTGCAGATGATCTTCCTCCTCACAGTAACCCACAAAACGGTTGCAGAAGTTACTGCACTGACTTCCCCTATCCCAGCATAATACTTCACATGATATTCCCCAGTCAAGTTCCCAGCCTTATTCCCCAGTACAGCAGCACACATGAATACTGTATTTCTTTCTCTTAAAAAAACAGAAGAAAAAAGGAAGTCCCCACTCACCAGCACAGTGGTGCAGATGGACCTGAGCTCAGACTCCACCTTCTCCCGATAGTCCTTGATAAGCTGCATCTTCTTGTCACTGGTGTCTGTCTTCTGCTCAATGCTAGAGATGACCCTCCAGGCAGAGCGCCGCCCCCCCACTACGTTCTTGTAGGCCACTGAGAGCAGGTTGCGCTCCTCGTTGGACAGCTCGGCACCTTGCTCAGTTACTGCCTTCATGCAGGTGGCCATATCATCGTAGCGCTCAGCTTGCTCAGCCAGCTTGGCTTTCTGGATCAACTCGGTCTTATCCATGGTGGCTGGCAGTGGGGCAAGAGCAGTGTAGTAGCAAAAGCAGGAGAAGCTGGGAATGTCACACTATCGACACGAGAATGCACTTCAAAACCTGCCAGAAAGAAGACAGGACGCTAGGATAAAACACTACAAAACATGATCTTATGCCAGCCCTCGCAACCCACCAAAAAACAAGGACCACAGTGAGCCTCACCTCCCCTTCCCCATCTCCAGGTGCTTCTTGTGGAGAGACGGACTGCAGCATCCTGCCCTTCCACGCAGGGCTAAGGGGAGAGGCACTCGTCTCAAGGGTCCACCCCTAGGGAAACCACGACCTAGAAACCCAACTGGGGAAGGCAGGCTCAGCGCTAGGCAAGGGACAGCAGCCTGAAGACCAAGAACTGGAAATAGCTATTTTTCCATCAGAGCGGACTTTTTGTCCTCACCCTGCTTTTCTTCCTTGCCTTATGTGAACATAATAATATGCTGTCTAACAGGGACCTGGAGAAGGATACCTAGTTACCACCAAGCCTGGGGGGCCTTGCCCAAAGCCCTTCTCCCGTGTGCCACAAGCCCTGCGGGTGAGAGCCGAAGAAAGGCGGATGCCAAAGCCGGGATACGCGGGAAAAAATAAATAATAAAAGGAGCGAGACAAGCTCGTCCCTGGGGAGGCAAGGAAGGGGTTAAAACCCAACGGGCTGGCAGAGCGGGCCCGGGACCCGCCTC